TGTTTCAAGAGTATACTAATTTAACAGTCGGGAAATATAATACTACAAACTGTACAATCTAATTCTTCAACCACCTCTTGAAAAACTAACTTCAGCAAATAAAGCGTCAACGATTCTAACTTCCAATTTTTGAAGTTTTTGAAAATTCTGTATTTTAGATGTGTTAATGGAAGTTAAAACCTATACCTTATTTCAAACCATAGCAATTTATACCCAATTTATACAATTAGACTGATTTTTATTAATGGGTTAATTTTTCTTTTTAAACTAATATATTAATTTCAAATTTATGTATTGTTTATATATTTCTGCAATGTAAATTATTGTCTAAAAATAATTTTTCCAAACCAACTTTTGAGTATTATTTTTGTGGCTCAGTCATTCGGAATAGCCGAGTAGTTTATTTAACAAAATATGCTTAAAATTCTCTTAAGAACTTAATTCCAAAATTTTGACGTTTCCTCCCCGGACACCTGTATATTTCAATCTGCTCGAGCAATAAATTTAGAAAAAAATGGGAGAAAGTTTTCAGAAAATGTTGAAAATATTGGAAAATTATGAAAAGTACTCCCAAAACTCAGAATATCTTATCCAAATGCAAGGATTCCCGGCATTAGTCTGATCGACTGGGAAAAATTCAATTTTGGTGGAAAAGCGCTTTGTTGACGTATTAGATCCTAGCGTAGTTCACACATAGGTGGACACACTACGTTTTGCCGGTTTTCGGTACCATCAATCTACAATACCTGGATTCTGACCACAACGTGTTGGAGAAAATAATTTGTGGCTTAGTTGAACAAGATTTATCCAATTTTTCATTATCAGAAATCCAAAAAACGAGTTTTTCTGACAATACCACAGCTTTCAGTACTTTTCCTATACTACGAATACGCTCATAGAATGTGAGACGGTAAAAAACTCTTTCTTCAATATTGTAGTCGTTGGAAGGCTCCAAAAAAAGAACTTTTGCACTTTTCAAAAATTGAGATAACTACAAATATGACCACATTTTAAGCTTATTTTATTGCATCTTTGAAAATGGGCAACCAATTTTGCCGTTCCACAGTCAACCTATTTTTGTATCAAGTTCCCACATAACGTGGACTGTGACTATCAGTGTTAGAGGAAATAATTGAATATAAATATGAACACTATTTATGCACTTTTCCGACATTTAGGAACCATAACAAAAGTTTTGCTTTTGAAATTTTGCTGATTTTTTGTCGCCTCTTTACATTACCTACTACGTAAGTGTTGTTTGGGGAGAGAATAAAAATTAAGAATGATTGCATTCAGACGGAAGACGGACGGTCAGACGGAAGAGCGGGCCTGATGGCCCGAGTCTCTCCGCGTAAAATAAGGCAAATTCAATTCAATTGCATTAAGAGAGTACTATTCGGCAGCACTGAGTTTCAGGATCCTACGAAAATTTGAGGAGACTATTTCCATTCAGACTCTTGGAGATAAAGTGGTTAGTTTTGGGGGAGTGTGATAAGGTTGCATTGGACGCCGCCTGTCGCTCAGGCCGATGGCCCTGGACCGCGCCCCACGCCCAACCATCGTCTCGAGAAGTTTGCATCACATCAAGCCTCAACAGCATTTTCGGTTTTTTTCAAAAACAGATTTAAAAGTTTGGTTTAATTTTTTTCTTGGATAGAACAATAGACGCTTATTGATGTGCCTCTCATTTTCGTACAACTCCTCGAATTTTTGATAATCTCAAAAGTGTAATTTTAGAAGTGAAATATTGGCAATTTTAGATCCATTTTTCATCCATTTTTTTAAAATACTCCTATGTGTCGAAGGACATGTACAAAAGTTGGTGTTGGTTCCATTTTTTATTAACTGTTTTATCGAAAATTTAAAAAAAAGTTTCATATTTCAAAAGTTCAATATTTCATATTTTTGTTTCTAAGGAAATCTTTTCTAAAAAATTAGATTAAAAAAGGCCATGTACAATGTTTTTAAAAAACGAGTAGTTCTTGCGTTCTGGTAATTTCTGCTTCAAATTGAGACAATTTATAAAAAACAACATTTTTTCAAAAACAACCGTAATTTTTTCTTTAATTTCTTTTCATGAATGTAAAAAGGCTCTTAAAGGAAGGCAACTGTTAAAGTTTGTTGCCTCTATGAACTTCCAAAGCTCGCATTAGTCAGAAATGATGGGAGAGACCGTTAGTTTCTTAAACATCGGCAAAAGTCAATACAGCGGAGGTAGTAAAACTCATGACGAGAAAACTTACTTCTGAGATTGAAATTCGGCGCGAAGAAAACTTTTTGCTGGTTGGTAACACGTTCATGTAGTCCTATAATATTGCGTAACCATTACAAATAATGTGAGAAAGCACGTGCTGTTGTAGTACCATTAGTTTTCGTATTTTTCTTATACAGAACAAACAACATTGAAGAATGGTGCAGGTCTAATTTAATTATTAAACTCTCTGAATTTTCGAAAATCGGATAAGTGAAAAGTAATGCGAGAAATGATGTGCTGTTGCAGCTCCACTAGCAATCTTAGCTCCACTAGCTCTCATTCATTCCCTACTAGCTCCACTAGCTCTCTTATACTGTATATACTATACCGCAACCGCCCGCCTGGAAACACTCCAGGGAAATTTAATTCAGCCGAATAGCTGCTCGACTAGCCAGCGGGTGGGCGGGAGGACGCAAATATTACTTACCCGTATTTGCACTCTTATAATCGCTACGATTGCGAAGAAGGGAAGGAAAATGATGGGATTAATTAAATTTGAAGAGAAAATACCGTGAACAGAATTTAATCGCAAAAAAATTGTGAAATTGAAGGGAGAAGAAAAAAAAGCGTATGATTACATCAATTAATATTACAAATGACTTGGAGAAAAGTTCATTCATTTCAATGGTTTCACCCCTTTCTTCTCGGATGAGCAAAATGCAGGCGTGTTTGCCTTCCCCAGGCAGACGGCGCAGTCCAGGCCTTGCAGCGGCGCAGGAAAAGATGTTGGCGGTGGATTAACGCCGGAGCACGCACAAAAAGAGAACGAGGCAGCTATCGTCCTTCACACTGGCGACCCACAGAGTCCTCAGGCTGGCGCTTCCCGTGCTCTGATCGGGTGCAATTGCGATAGTCGGGAGGCGGGGAACTGCACGACGGGCGTGGAGTGCGCGTGGTTATTATAATGATGCGACGTCGATTACAAAACATCGGTCTTAGCAAACATCGATGTTCAAAATACATCGACTTAAAACCACCTGTGTTTCTCAACATCGATGTTTGTAGACTAACTACCTCTAATATTATATTCGTGTGTATTAAAATTTAATTTAGCAGTGTTCCTATTTGTCAATTCGCCGAATAAGGGTTCGATAAGGGTCTTACATCCACAGCGTATTTGTTGACAAAATGTCAATGTGCGAAATGAATGGGAAGCAAGAGGAAATACAAGACCATGGAGGTCACCTCGGGCGAAAGAGCTTGATCGATGAAGGTAGTGCAGACAGCGTTTTTTGGGGGGGGAGGGGGTGCCAACATATGAATAACAGTGTTACTATCAGTTATTATTTCATATTTTAACTTTTACAGAATAATGATCGTGGAATTTTTTTTCATTCAGAAACAAAACATTTTAAAATAAAATACTTTCGATCACAAACATCGATGTTAAAAAACATCGGAGTTAATACGTCGATGTTTAGAGTATCGACATTGATGTCGCATCTCCAGTTTATTACACTCGGATGCCTGTCGATTACAACTTGGCCATGTTTCTTAGTCATGATCCACTTATCTATGTTCCAGCACACTCTCTTATTCAGACTATAAGATCGTTAGACACCGGGGCGAGAGTACTTTGTCGCCATATTATTTTCGCCTCATAGTGTTATTTTTTACCCGTCTAGGACGACAAAAATTAATATCTCGAAAACTACTCGTCCAAACAATGAAACTTTGCCCAGAGCCTTATTGAACCTTAAGTCTGAATGCCTTATTGAAGGAAGCCTGCACAACACAGCGCAAAGGGTTGTATTCTATTTGAAAGTACTTATATTGATCTTCAGATTCCATGGCACAATAAGCATATAAAATGCTAAAGAACGAATGAATAGAACACACTAATTGAACTACGAAAGGCAACTGCAACCGGTCTCTGTTATCGTCAGCTCTCTCTATTACCGAGTTAATTATTTAAGGCAGTATCTAATCGGTACTGTCCGGTCAGAAACGCTACAGCCATCAATGCAGTATCATTTGAAGGCAGGATATTTTGTAATACGGTGGATAATGAATGATAGCTCGATTGCGAAATAAAAAAATCGATTTTTGTCACCCTAAAATGGGAAAATATAATGCAGTACTGCGTCTGAAACATTGCCACAGGTATGGTCCTAGCAAACCCCGCCGTCTTGGTGATGGCGACTCACCAATCACGAATGGCAGATTCAGCAGCTACATTTGATGAGTATCTCTCTGAAAGTCTACATTTTGATGTATTATTGTATCTCCAACATTACACATGTATATATATTTTGAAATAGCTGGTACTTGTGCTTCGAACGATTTCTTATGAAATTTCTCGAACACTCAAGAGTTTGAATTGACAAAAACAAAAATAAAATGTGAAAATGAGCTATATATTGTGCATTTTTTGGAAAAAGTCCAACATTTTCTCAGAAGCGTGGCGTTAACGGTGGTCCCCGAGCCGGCCGCTGGGCGTGGCCCCTGAGCGTGTTGCTGGCGCTGAAGGCGACCCCTGCGTAAAGCACTGAGTGTGGCGCTGGGCGTGGCCCCTGAGCGTGTTGCTGGGCATAGCGCTGAAGGCGGCACCTGCGCGAAGCACTGAGTGTGGCGCTGGGTGTGGCCTCCCAGCGAGGCGCTCAGGGGGGAGCCTGAGCGTGGTCACTGAGCGTGGCGGGGCGGGCGTGTGTGCGCAGCGCCGCGGGCCCCCGACCCGCCGCCGGGGCTGCGCGTGGGGCCGCTGAGCCGCGCGGGCGACGGGCTGCGCGCAGAGCTGAGTTGGCAGCGCCCGCCCTCCGACCTGCCCGTGCTGCGCTACAAGGTCTTCTGGAGCCGGCGCCTGCACGGCGAGGGCGAGGGCGACGCCGTGACGCCCACCGCCGCCTCCGACGCCCCCACCGCCCCCGCCGACGGCCCCGGCCCCTCCACCACCACCACCGCCACCACCGCCGCCAAGCAGACCTCCGTGCTGGTGCACCACCAGACGGTGGGCGGGGTGAGTACTCCTTCCCATAACCCGATCGCCTAGTTCGCCGCGCCACCAGCGTTTTCTGTCACTAGTTGGGTTCGGGGCCAGCGTTATTATATTTTCTTTCTGCTTTGAATCTCTGCTGGGCACATACTCAATCTGCGACGGCCAGAACTTCCAACTACACACTGTTGCAACTGGTTGAGGCACGCTGTTAGGAGCTCCAGAATGGTCGCATTTTAATACTTACCTAAAGACAGGGAATTTTTCTTATCAGATAGCATAGGAGTACTTTGTATAATCGAAATTATAATCCTATTCGAATAATCGAAAACGCATAAACACAATGCTTGAAGTGGTTTTAATTATTAGAAGTGTCCAAAACGAAAATATAAGTTCCGTAAAATCCCCTTTTGCCGTTAGACGTGCATATCGAAGGGATAGGGGTTGCAGTCCTCTACTGTTTCAAAACTCTAAAAGAAATGTGTAAATGGCGCAAGAGTGTGTTGATGCAGTTGCTCAATTTGAGTCGCTACACTCGCGCGTTCCAAAGCCGGCGCCGAGGACCTGGCATTGGCCTTGGCCAGGGTTGTCCAACTGGCGGCACGCGGCCTGTGATGTCGTTTATTGTGGCACGCGAAAGGCTGTTGGTGGAAAGTGTCATCCATGTCGTGTGAGAACATTGGGCGCCTAGAGCATGCGCCCTGCCAGGGACAACACCCCTTTTTATTGTAAAAAATAGGTAAAGTTTAGATTTAAGGATTTGTTTTTGTTGTGAATTCAGAAATTCAAAATCATCCCATTGTGCTTCACTGCGTACATCCTGATATCACGCATTGTTCCAATCCCCCTCCCCCACATCAGAGTAGCCGGGGGAAGTGCCGAGATCGAGAATAAGGGGAGATCAGGTGTGGGTCACCGAGCAATGAAAAATCGCAACCATGTTGGTGGTTGTAGTTGTGACCCCTTGAGGCTTTGAAAATTGGAGCACCTGGCTTTGGCCTCCGTGATGCACGAGAAACACGCAAAGGTTCGGCAAACACGTAATTCCCTTCGCATTTTGCACCAAAACACCGAAGTGTCTTTTCTTGGCGAGCGGAGTGGCCGAAATGCTTAAATTGCTACGCAGTTAACAGCCGAGCAACTACGAGTAATCAGATACCTTCCAATATTTATATTAGTCTCGCCAAAACTTCTTTTATCCACAAACAAAAGAATTAAATCAGGCTATATCAAGGGATAAACTTTCACACAAAAGTTAACATTCAGCCCCTCACTCCAGTTCAGAACACTACAATTTAAAAAATTAATGTATTTCCTAAACTTTCACAGTCTGTTAATAGAAAAAAGTGAATTGATCATTGACGCATATAAATTCTATAATTTTGACCAATGCGACAATTGACAAAATCTATTTTTCGTATTTTTATTATGATAAGAAACAGCTAATAAATTTGAAACCTGACTAACTTTACAAGTGAGACTCTGCAAAATTCAACCCTTTGTGAGGCCACATATATCTGTAAGCTGTGTCAAGTACAGGAAACTAGAATTAATGTAATACCCCTAAATATGAATTAAATAGAAAATACAATACATTAAAATTGTTGAAGAATATGTAAAAATTAAGAAATCTGAAATGAATAACTGTGTATTTCATAGACTACGAACAAAAAATGTTACAACAAAATACAATAGTTCCACATTATTAACAGGAATAACTCAACAACAACTTGATGGTCGTTACAGGAATGCTTAAGGTTGAAACAAAGGTCACCCATCAGTTTGGAACCGTTTATAAACGGAACAGAAATATTGACTATAATTTTTTCTTAAACAACCCCACCTTATGATCTTTTGGTACAGTTATCGCCGCTTGTTTTGCTTCTCACGGACTGACAATTCTAATTTTTACAGAACGTCAGTTTTCTCTTAACTTTTCTCACACTACAGCATCATTGCCCCGCAATACAATTTGATCATCTGCTCTCCTTTCATTTGTGGCCCGTAGGAAAAAATAAAGTTCATCGAAGGTAAACGGAAGGAGGGATTTTTTCCATATTTAAATATGCTACTTAACTTTTCATTTCTTAAATGCACGATAATTAATTTTGAATGTTATAACCATGGAATTTAACCTTTGAGGAGAAATATCATGATTATCATTCTTAATTAGCATTTCGTTTTTACTGGAACAACATGCATTCAGCATAAAAACCCGCTTACAAGAATGAAATAAGAAACGAAAAGACAATTGATAGGTTTTCCATTTTTCCACTCGATTTTACTGACTCATCTAATATTATTGTAAGTAACATATGAATCTAACCAGATTTTATTTACAAATTGAAAAAACTAAAACTAATTTAAAGATAATTCTCACTAGAGAATGTTTTATCAAACGCTACTCATTAATTTATTTGTTACTATGATGAAAAAATGGGAAAATTTAAATAAATATTTTATCTAATTGCTTACCCATGCAAATCTTTTATTGTTATAACTATACTGTTGCGTAAAATTGAGTGACATTGAAATGCATAAGTATTCCGTATATACATACGTACTTCTTTTGCAGATGTGACATAATACTCTTGATATCACCTAAGAATAAGATGTTTTATTTGAGGATCTAGGAGATGGTAATAGATAACACTTTGCAAAGGATCTTTCTCGTCACTTTCGAACCTTGCAGGAGCGGCGATTTATAGCGTTTACGAACAGTTCCAAATTGCGATATGGAGGGGGGAAGAAGCAGGAGGTTGCCGTGGCGTGGCGAGGGCGCAACAGGACAGTACTGGACTTCTGCCAACCGGAACAGGCAGGGCAAGGGAGTGTGTGTTAGGGAAGCTTAGGGTGTAGTTCAGGGCAGATTATTGCTGGGGAAGGGAGGGCATAGCTGAGGAGGGAAGGACAGGGCTGGGCTAGACTGGATATGGCAGGACAGGGCACGGCAGTGCAGGGCAGGGTGTGATAGTGCAAGGCATGGCAGGGCAGGGTGGCGGTGGGCAGGGCAGCACACAGCAAGATGTGGCAGTTCAAGGCAGGGCAGTGCAGTGCATGTCACGGTAGATCGGGGCAGAGCAGAGAAAGGCGTGTCAGTGCAGGGCAGAATAGGGCCAAGCAGAGCTGGGCGAGGCAGCGCAGTGCAGGGCAGAGCAGGGGAGTGAGCGGGCGTGTCTAGAAGCGCAGGCGGCACTCGCAGCCCACGACGACGGCACGCGGCTCGAAGCGCCAGGCGCGCGGAGTGGGCGGGCAGGCGGGCGTCTGGCGCGCGCGGCCCGCTCCCGTCCAAGGCGCCCGCGCAGCACGTTCACTGCGCAACCGCCCGCACTATGCGCTCTGCCCTCCCCTCCCGACGCCAGCGCCGCGACGCGGGGGCGGGGGGCGGGGCGGGGGCCGGGGCGGGGCGGGGCCCGGGGCGGACGAAGCGGGCGGGGCGGGCGGACGGGCGGGGCGGGGAGGGGGGGGCCGGCGTCAGGTGGGCGGGGTGGGGGAGGGGCAGGGCGGGGCAGAGCGGACGGAGCGGGACGGGACGGGGCGGAGCGGGGCGGGTGTGGGGTGGGGGTGGGCGGGTCGGGGGGGTGGGGAGTTACCGTGTAAGGTGCGCTCCACGCAGGCGGAAGGGCGGGCCGCCAGCAGGCGGCGTCGGCGCGGCAGCGCACTGGCGTAGGAAGCGCGGGTAGAAGCTCTGCCAGTCTTGGGGTCGGCGGGCACCGCCTCGCACGCGCACGGCAGTACGCGCACGCCGCCCCCGTCCTCCTCCTCCTCCTCCTCCTCCGCCTCCTCCGCCTCCTCCTCCGCCTCCGGCTCCGCGAAGGCGTCGCCTCGCGTGCGCTTCGCCAGCGCCTCCGCCTCCGCCTCCGCCTGCGCACCGAGCGCACGCCATTGGCCGTGACGACGGCGTGCACGTACTTCACCCAAACACTTACTTATGTTGTTTAAAAGGGATGTGCCGTTAGAGGCGAAGTCGAAACTTAACTGTACTTTTATGATTCACTCATGTAGGGGGGAGAGTTTAAGAAACATTTCAGCAGCCAACACCGAAACAGTGGCCATACGAACTTAAGGAATTCCCAGTGGACTGTACGCGGCAAAATTAAATGTTATTGTTCTCTCAACACTCTCTATACGCGTGCAACAAATTGTTCTTTCATTTCATCAACCCTATATTTTTCTGGTCCTTCTCTTCTTCCTCCCTCTCCCCCCCTCTCTCTCTCTCTCTCTGTCTCTCTCTCTCTCCCTCCAACTCTCTCTTCTCTTTCCCCATCTCTTCCCTCTCTGCCGTCTCATCTCTCTCTCTCTTCTCTTTTACTTTCAACTATTTTCTATATCTATTTAGCTTCCTCCCCCTTTTCTCTCTCTTTCTCTCTCTCCCATGACACACGGAAGCAGGCTGCGCGAAAACAAATATTGATCGTCGCTACGAAACGTTTACAAACAAAGATTCCGCAGTCATCGGATGTGAACCTTCAAAAATATTTTCCCCCAAAAATTAAAATAAATGTATATTTATTCTCTTAAATTCTAGAAAATTCCTTTTAGCTCTTGCGAGCGATTTGAAAGTATGTAACCGCAGCCCAATTTCTTTCCGTAAATGATCGTGGCTGCTCTGTGCGTACGTGCGTTGCCGACGCGAGAGCGCAAAGCCGAGCAGTGGCGTCGGGGGTACCGAGGCTGACCTGCAGGACGGGTGCCGCCTGCGCCATCTGCGCCACCAGGGCCCACTCGGCTGCGCGCGCAGGCGGCTGCGCGTGCATGCTGCTGAGGACGGCCGCCTTCAGCAACAGCAGCGCCAACGCCGCCAGCACCGTCTGCGCACCAGCAGGGGTGTACAGAGAGTTATGAGAATTCTAATAAGCCATGGCCCATCATTATTTACTGCAATAATGAGATGCGATGCAAATAATATTAGTAGTAATGTGTGACCTCCTTTTATACTCCGATTTAAAAATAGTGGTACTTCAAGGTCACGAGCTGAACGAAGAGGGGGACACAGTCATCCAATCGCGTGCTTTGATACGACT